GGTCTCGAACCCGCGGGCTCAGGCAATCCACTCACCTCAGCCTCCCAAATCACGGGATTACAGGCTGAGCCACCGAGCCCAGCTAAAGGGTCACTTTCAATTAATTATCCAGCATCATCTCAGGTACCATTGCCCTTCTTACCATTATATGTCTACTTACAGTAGTCTGTGCATTTGCTCAATGCTTTATACGTGTCAAATAAATCATGGGAGTTCCTGCCTGAATTTTAACCCTCTTAATTAAAAATGAGCAGACAGGTATAGGTAGGGACAACTCTATGCCACTTGACTGCTGATCAAGGTGCGTAGTTACAGAAGCTTGATCTTCGCCCTTGATCCCTAGTTGCAAATAAGAGTATTTCTGAAATAACAAGAGGAGAGGATGAAAAGTAGGAACTCCAAGAATCTTAGAACTTGGTAAAATAATCCTAGCAGTAGTGCAGACATTTTATCTCAGCCCTGGCCCAGCCTTTCTGCTTGACCAGCCTATTCTTTTACCTCTTAATCATTAGCAAGAAGTAAAACCAGCTTCCCAGAGTTAGGACTTAAGCACGTCTAGCTAATTGTTCTTCTAGGCATCTGTTTCAGGCAATGATGTATTGTTATCAGTCTTCCATAACCAACCTGGAATCATACTGGTGCCTAGGGCTGTCTATAAACAAGACTTTTGTGACTTCCTCATTATCTCTATCAAAGAATACAACTTCCAGACTTTTCCCATAATTCTTTGCACTATTCCTGCGGCACCGGCCCACCTTAACTCAGTTTACGCTTTCACAACGGACATCTGAAGTGAGGGCAGTCTTGTGGGACTGAGTCCTTAAAAACCGTGAAGTCTGTTGCTAATTCTGGGTAGGATCAGAAATGAATTGAATTGTAGGACACCCAATTAGTGTCTGCAGAGAACTGGAAAATTGCTTGGTGTGGAAAACCCCCACATCTGGTGTCATTAGTGTTGAGTAAAAACAACTCATGGCTTTTCATTTATAGGCAATACAAGGTTAAAATCTGTTTTACCCTAATAATGTCACTGTGGGCTAGTCACGGCCTCGCCAAGCCATTTCTTCAAATGAAAAATGGAAATGCTACCCTCTACCTCAAAGGATTATGGTAATAACTGAATGAGAAACCTGTGGAGAGCTGGGCATGGTGGCTAATGCTTGTAATCCCAAGACTTTAAGAGGATTGCTTGAGCCCAGGAGTTCATGACCAGCCTAGGCAATATAGTGAGACCTCATATCTACAAAAAATTAAAGAAGTTAGTCAGGTATGATGGCACGCGTCTATAGTCCCTGCTACTTGCGAGGCTGAGGTGGAAGCATCGCCTGAGCTCAAGAGGTCGAGATTGAGGTGAACTGTGATCACACCACTGCACTCCAGCCTAGGTGACAGAATGAGATCCTGACTCAAAAAAAGAAAAAAAGCACGCCTGTAGTTCCAGCTACTTGGAAGGCTGAGGCAGAAGGATTGCCGGAGCCCAGCAGGTCGAGGCTGTGGTGGCCAGGAGCGTGCCACTGCACTCCAGTCTGGGTGAAAGAGTAAGACTCCAACTAAAAAAAAAAAAAGAAAATAGAAAAGAAAAAAACCTGTGGAGTACCCAATACAAGTAAGCACTTAATAAATGATAGTTCTTCCCTAGTGACAGAGTGCAGTGTGCTATAATGCATTTTATGTTTCTGAGAGGGAACCAAACTCCTTTTAAGTATACAATCCAAAGATACAATGTGATAGAACATGTCAAAACAGACAAGAACATACCTGGTTTGGAGAAAAGAGAACACAGTTGATGGTGAGTGATGCATGGCTAAATAGTCACCAAAAGTGATGCCAGTGATTAAGAATCTAGCAGCAGGTACTTATCCCAGCTTTCTGCTGTACAGATTATCACTTATCCAAAATGCTTGGGACCAGAAGCATTTTGGAATATTTGTATAAATATGAGATGTTTTGGGAATGGGACCCAAATCTAAACACGAAATTCATTTGTTTCATATACACCTTATACACATAGCCCGAAGGTAATTTTATACATATTTTAAATTTTGTGCATGAAACAAAGTTTCTATATAATGATCCATTTTAAAACTCTTTGGAGGCTGGCTTACATGGAAGAATCTAGGCATGCACAGTAAGGATATAACACAGCTAAAGGGGAGAGGGTCTTTTTTTCCTTGAGGATACTGGATAAACTGTGTTGTGCCCTGCATTTTGACTATGAACCACCATATGATGTCAGGTGTGGAATTTTCCACCTGTGGCACCATGTCAGCACTTAAAAAGTTTCAGATTTTGGAGCACTTCAGATTTTTGGATTAGGGATACTCAACCTGTGTTAAGCTGAAAGCGTAAAACAACTAGTGAATAAAGTATGTCTTAGATTTAGAACACCAATGACAAAATTCTGCCTAAATTAAGGAGTTTCCATATGCATTTGCCAGCGTCAACTCGGTGAAAGAAAGTGAATGGAAAGCACTTGAGAAAAGTAACTTTAATTTTCTTATCTGAACCGTGATATACAACAGTGATCACCTGCAGAGTAAAACTAAGAATGGCCAGGAAATTTTTACAAAAACTTCTCTAGAAAAAAGTTCTGTTAAGTTTACAGAGTATGCTTTTTGAGAGCTTTGTCCCTTAAGCCTGAATGCTTCATGCTCTCAGAGAACACAATTATGGAAACAAAAAGTACCTCATATTCAATTTCACTTTAAAATACAATAAACAGGTTACATTCTCAAGTGTTAAGTTGCTTATACAAACTTAAAGTCAAGAGCATGACTTCAGGATCTGCACTTTTTATGTCAAGTGCTTTAACTAAGCAGTTTAGGGCCTCCTGTAGTTTTCCACACTCCTTTAGTTCTTTTCCACGTATTACAAGAGTCTCATACTCATTCGCAGCCTCCACTGCCTTATCCTTGGGAGAATCAACCAACTCTTTACCAGACAGAGACTCAGGGTCACCAGGAGAGGTCTCCTGAGCTAGCGCACTAGGCTTAGACATAGACAACCAGCTGGATTTGTTTTCTTCAGACAGTATTTCTCCAGAAGGATCCTTTTCTGAACACTCAGAGGCTTCACCACTGCTTTCCTCTGCCCCTTCTTCTGGATAATCTTCAGCACCCTTATCTTCACTGCTGTTGTCAAATCCTTCCTCCATATCCTCCACATGGTCGAAAACTACATTAATAAGAGACCTCCTAGAAGCTAGAGATCTTCTGGAGTTTATAGACTTATTTACACTACTGGATACTCCAGGTGAAAAGAACCTTCCAGGCAGACTGATGTTACTTTTGGGAGTTGAAGCATCAAATTGTTTCACAGATGAGAATTGAAAGGGAGACGTGTTGAATAGATTTGTACTGGAAATACCTTTAAAAGAATCATCTTCATCTTCATCTTCATAAACGATCCTTCTAGCCTTCCTTCTAATTTTTGTATTAGCTACTACTTCTTCTGTTTCATCATCTTTCTCAGATAAATTCCAACTGAGACATGCTTTGCTATGCACAGACTCTGCTTTGGAATTAGCTGCAGAGCCACAGAGGCTATTTTCTTTCTCAACATGCTCTGAAGACAGACTGGAAGGATTCTGTCCATTGTCTGCAGAGTCTTCCAAGAACAGATTGAAATCACATGCATATTGTGGTAAACATGTTGAAGGTTCTTCTTCCAACTCAGCCTTATTTGCTTGAGCATCCTGCAGTGCACTATGGGATGCTGACAAGTTATCAGCTATTTCAATAACAGATACATTCAATTCTGTATTTTTATTTTCATTTGTTATGGGAATAATGGGCCAAGGACAGCAATGTTGTAAGATGTCATCATCCTTCAGTTGATCTAGATTTGGCCCAATATCAGCTTTGGCTGATTTGTTAAGTAAATAATTAAAACTTTCTGGAGGGTTCTCTTGCAGTGCCTCCTGCTTAGACCTTTCTTGTAATGCCTCTTTTTTCAGAGCTTCATTTTTAGTTCCAAAGCTTTTTGCCATTCCCAATAAAGAGTCAGTCCAAATTTCTTCCATACTTCCAAACCCCTTGGGTAAAGCAGCTATAGAGTCAGCATCAAATGTACTTTTGCACAAGTGCCTACCATCTTGCAGGACAGTAATGTTCTTTATACTGGCGAGATCTTGTTTCTCACCCTCTTTGGGCAGATCATCAACGATTATACCTGCCGTTTGGGAACTGATATCTTCTTCCTGGATATGACAAGTAGTTATAAGAGGTGAAAGTGGAAGCTGTGGTTTATTCAATTTAGGGCATTTCTTCTTTGTTTTAGAAGGAAATACAGGTTCTCTTAGCCAGGCTCCCTCATTGCGAGTTTTTTGTTGTTCCACCAGGAACCCTGTATTTTGAGACTCTAATTCAACAAGGAATTGAGCTTTCTGAACCCTATGTTGAATATACTGAGATTCTTCTATCTCATCAAGCTCATCTTTTACAGACAGATCACATGAGTACATCAAATCATGGTCTGAGATTCCGGCTATCCCCAAAGAGTGCAAGTAGGCAATATGTTCATCTAGTTTCTTATCAGATCTCCTCTGAGCAGCATGCAGAGACTGAAGTTGCAGCTGGGTTACAGAGTTCTGAAGATCTTCAACTGTAAAGAGCTCTCTTAATTCTTGTTTACTAAAATATCGGAAAGGGTTCTTCTTTTCACCAGTAGTTTGTCTTATTATTGAGTCCTTGAAAACCTGTCTTCTGTATATTTTTTCCTCTACAGTCCCACAGGTGATTAGCCTATAAACCACCACATTTTCTTTTTGTCCAATTCGGTAAACTCTATCCACAGCTTGAGCATCAGTTGCAGGATTCCAGCTAGGGTCAAAAATGACTACTCTAGTTGCTGCAGTTAATGTTAAACCAACACCACCTACTTGAGTTGTAAGCAGAAAAACAGAGTAATTTTTATCTTGTTGGAATAAGTTAATTCGTTTTTCTCGTTCCAAAAGATGTGTAATTGTTCCATCAATTCGCAATGTCTTGAAGTGACTATTCTTTAAGAGGCGTTCAATGATGTTTAGAATTTGTCTCGACTGGGAAAACACCAGAGTTTGATGACCCTCATCTCGCAGTCTCTTAAGTAGGTCCATTAGGAATATCATTTTCCCAGATTCTTCCATCAATGTATCATCAGTTATTTTATCTATATGGTCCATATCTGGGGAATCTTCCCCATCGTTTTCATCTTGAGTAGAAAATGTGACAGTCCCTACATTCAGCAAATGACAAGCCCGTGCAGACAGCAGTCTAGGATGATCACACAACTTCTTTAGGACAGCTAGCTCAGCCAAAGGTGAACGTGTCTCCATTAGCAACTCCTTGATATGATCTAAAGACACAAATTTCCTGTATATTTCTTCTTGTAAAGGCACAAGACGTATCCAAATAATTAAATCATTTTTCCTGGAAAGAGAAGGCATTTCACAAATGGCATCAACATCTGGATTCTTTTCACTAAGTCTGACTTCTAGGTTGCTTGATTTTTTCTTCTGTACTTCTTCTTTAGTCCTCCTGAGAAAATAGGGTTTTATGATTGCCATTAAGTTTTCAGACATTTTAAATCCCAATGCTTTTTCCCCTGGGGTAGCATCCTTCTCTCTTGCTCTAGTAATAGGATTTTCATATTCCATTTTAAAAGTTTTTAATGTTCCTAGCAGGGATCCTTGACAAGCAAAATCAAATAGGGACCATAGTTCTTGTAAATTATTCTGGATTGGGGTTCCTGTGAGAAGGAGGCGATTACTTGCAGGGATAGCACGAGCACATATTGCCGATTTAGTAGAAGAGGTTTTTATTTTATGTGCTTCATCAAGGATAACATAGTCCCACACAAACTCTTGACCATTAAAGCTTGAAAGTTGCTGCCAATTATTGATTAACATTTGGTATGTAGTGATAATGACACCATTCCTTTGCTGAATCCGATTGAGGTTTCTGGTACGTTCATACTTGCTGGGACCATGAAAGGTTTTAACTCTCATTCCTGGAGTCCACTTGACAAATTCTTTTACCCATGTGTTAATAAGATTAGTGGGCATGATCAGCAGCACATAATTCACAAGTGAAGCATCAAACATACCAGAAAGGAAAGCAATGATTTGAACAGTCTTCCCTAATCCCATATCATCTGCCAAGATACCACCTTTTCTTCCATCCTTATATAGGTTATAGAGGAAAGCTACACCTTCCTTCTGGTGCTCAAAGAGTTGGTTGTGCAGTTCTCGATAAAGCAGCAGGCCAGAGTTGCACACATCTGTAAATTCATCATCTCCATTTCCTGCAAGTTCCTCCAAGGCTTCCTGTATTTTTTGGATTCTGCTCATCACCTTTTCATTGGGAAAAATGTCCTTTGCCAAATTGAAAAGTTTAAATGCTTCTTCCAGATTTCCATTCTTAGTTGCTTCTTTGGCCTCTTTGACATATCTATAAAAAAGATAAAAAGAAAATAAAAGAAAGGAAACAGATTGAACATTCAGTCTAAGAACTTTGAGAGTCCATTTTGGAAACCAAACTACACTTGGATTTTTAATATCAATTTCTGATGGAGAAGATTAGCACAGAAGATGCCAATGAAAGCCAGTGTCACTTAAGACACAAATAAATATCCAACAGACACTTCCAGCAACACTCTCAGGCATTAGTTGTAGAAAACAAATGTGCAAAGATTATAGGGTCCACAGTATTTAAAAAAAAAGCCATCCAATAAGAAGCATGAAGTTGCTAGGCATGGCAGTTCACACCTGTAATCCCAGCACTTTGGGAGGCAGAGGCAAGAGGACTGCCTGAGCCCAGGGGTTCGAAACCAAACTGGGTAACTTGGCAAGACCTCATATCTCTACAATATATCAAAATATTAGCCGGGCGTGGTAGTGCATGCCTGTGGTTTCAGCTACTTGGAAGGCTGAGGCAGGATGATTGCCTGAACCCAGCAGATTGAGGCTGCGGTGGCCCTGAGTGGGCCACTGCATTCTAGCCTAGGTAACAGTGTGAGACTCTGACTCAAGGAAAAAAAAAGTATTAAGTGATATTTTTTGTAAAACACAAACCTCTGTATAGGAGCACAGGAACTTCTCAGGCCTTATCAGACCTCTGTGATAGATTAGACACTATTGATCACTTCCCCCTTAAAATTTCCTCCTACCACCAGATTCCTCTAGATGTCTCTTGGTTTTCCTCCTCCAACACTGGCCATTTATTCTTTGTATTCTTGGGTTCCTATTCTTCCTCTCAAAGGACTCAGACCTGGGACCTCTTCTCACTCATTGTACTGTCTCCTAGGGCTTTTCCAGAGCTTCTACTCCCATCTATGTACTCATGACTCCCAAATCTCTCTCTCTAACCCAGAGTTTGCCCCCAAGCTCTAGTCTAGACCCATATTCCAACTATCTTTTGGACATCTCCATTTGACAGTCTTACAGGTACCTCAAATTCAGTTCATCCCAAATTAAACTCATTGTTTCCCTTCACCCTCTCACCTCTTTTTATGTTCCACACCCCCAGGCCAAGCAGTCTCAAGTCCTACAAACTTTACTTCCCAAGTATAAATGCTTTCTCTCCACCTTTACTACACTACTACTGTGTTCCAAGTCACCATCATCTCTGGCTTAGAAAACTACAGCTTCCCACTCACTGGTCTCCTTCTATCAACTCTCACACTGTTCAATACATTCTCTATATAGCAGCCAGCAATACTGACTTAAAGCATAAAAGAAAGAATGCCACTCCTCTGCTTAAAATTCTTCAGTGGTTTATGGTCAATTGATTTCAACAAGAATGCCAAAACAGTATACTAGGGAAAGAATAATCTTTTCAAATGGCTATCCATATGCAAGAGAATAAAATTGAACCCCTGCTCATACCATATACAAAAATTAACTCAAAATAGATCAAAGACCTAAACATAAGAGCTAAGACTACAAAACTTAGAAAAAATATAGGTATAGACCTTCATGACTTGAGTTTGACAATAGTTTCTTAGACATGATGCCAAATACACAGGCAACCAGAGGAAAAAACAAGATACACAAATGGCCAATAAGCACATGAAAAGATGCTCAACATTATTAGTTATCAGAGAAATGCAGACCCAAACCACAATGAGATACCACTTTATATCCATTAGAGAAAAGTAATCAAGGACAACACAAATGGAAGATCATCCCATGCTCATGGACTGGACGAATCAATATCATCAGGATGTCCATTCTTTCCAAGAAAATGTACAGATTCAACACTATCCCTATCGAGTGTTAGCGACAATGTGAAAAATTCCTACTGTTGGTGGTGAGGACTAAACTCTTACCTTTTTTCTTTACCTTGCCAAATTCCTAACTAAGGAGACTGGAGATAGGAGTTTTTTAATTACCCTTATGCAATGTTTACTTTCCAACCTGACTATGACATAACATAACAGATAAAGAAGAAAAATCAAAGTATCAAGAAATTTGACCCCTTTATCATTCCTCAAGATTCCTATTTCTTTTACTGCTTTCAAAATTCCTTAAATAACTCTTGCTAACCAACTGCCAATCAAGAAATCTTTGAATCCACCTACAGCCGGCAAGCCCCCTGTTGAAGACATTCTGCCTCCCTGGAGTTGAACCAATGTATTGATTTATGGTTTCTTGCAACTTCTGTCCTCCTAAAATATATATAACCAAGCTATAATTCAATCACGGCAGGCATACATTTTCGGGACCTTCTGGGGACAGGTGTCATGGGCCTAAGGTCACTCATATTTGACTAAAAATAAACCTTCTTAAATATTGTATGGAGCCGGGCGTGGTGGCGCATGCCTGTAGTTCTGGCTACTTGGAAGGCTGAGGCAGAAGGATCGCCGGAGCCCAGCAGGTCGAAGCTGCGGTGGTCGGAAGCGGCCACTGCACTCCAGTCTAGGTGACAGAGTGAGACTCCAACTCAAAAAAAAAAAAAAAATATATATATATATATATATATATATATATATATTGTATGGAGTTTGGAATCTTCCATCAACAGTGGGAACATAAAGTGGTGCAGAGCTACTTTAAAAAACAGTCTGGCAATTCCTCAAAAAGCTACACACAGAGTTACAATATGATATAATTCTACTCCCAGGGGAAAAAATTAGGGGTATTCAAATAGGAAAAGAGGAAGTTAAGTTATTCCTCTTTGCAGATGATATAATTCTATGCCTAGAAAATTCTAGAGTCTATCAAAAACCACCTCACACTGATAAAAGACTATGGTAAAGTCTAGGAATACAAAATCAATCCACAAAAACCAGTTGTGTTTCTATGTACCAACGACAAGCAGGCTGAGAACCAAATAAAAAATATAACCCATTCACAATAACCAAAAAATAAATAAAATACCCCGGCATCTATCTAACCAAAGAGTCGAAAAAGCTTTACAATCAGAACTACTAAACACTGCTCAAAGAAAGAAATCAAGGACAATACAAACAAATGGAAGAACATCCCATGCTCATGGAATGGAAGAATTAATATCGCCAAGATGTCCACTCTATCCAAGGAAATCTAGATTCTACACAATTCTTACCAAATTGCCAGCATCATTTTTCACAGACCTAAAAAAGACAACACAGAAATTCATATGGAAGCAAAAAAAAGCCCAAATAGCTAAAGCAATTATCAGCAAAAAGAACAAAGCTAGAGGCATCACACTCCCAGACTTCAAATTTTACTACGAGGCTACAGTAACCAAGACAGCATGGTACTGGTACAGAAATAGACACATAGGCCAGAGGAATAGGATAGAGAAGCTTTAAATAAAACCACAGACCTTCACCTAACTCAGCTTTGACAAAGCTGACAAAAACAAACACTGGGGAAGGGAAAACATATTTAGCAAATGGTGCTGGGAAAACTGGCTAACCACAGGCAGAAAAATGAAACTGGACCCCTACCTATCACCATACACAAAAATTAACTCAAAATGGATCAAGGGCTTAAACGTAAAGCCTCAAACTATAAGAATCTTAGAAGAAAATGTGGGGAGCACCCTCCTGAACATTGGCCAAGGCAATGAATTCGTAGCTAAGTCCTCAAAAGCAAATGCAACAAATCTAAAATTGACAGGTAGGATCTTATCAATCTAAAAAGTTTTTGTACAGCAAAAGAAACCATTAAGAGGGTACAGAAGGCTGGGTGTGGTGGCTCACACCTGTAATCTCAGCACTTTGGGAGGCCAAGGTGGGAGGATTGCTTGAGTCCAGGAGTTCGAGACCAGCATAGACAACACAGCAAGGCTTCGTCCCTACAAAAAATTTTTAAAAATTAGCTGGGCATGGTGGCACACACCTGTAGTCCCAGCTACTCAGGAGGCTGAGGCAGAAAGATCGCCTGAGCCCAGGAGGTAAAGTCTGCAGTACGCAGTGATTATGCCACTGCACTGCATCCTGGGCAACACAGTGAGATGCCAACTGAAAAAAAAAAGTAAAAGAAACAATTCACCAAATGGAAAGAAATATCTGTGAGCCACGCACCTGACAAAGGCTTAATATCTAGGATCTATAAGGAACTCAAACGAATTGACAGAAAAAAAAAACCCCTAATAACCCCATTAAAAAGTGGGCAAAGGACATAAACAGACACTTCTTAAAGGAAGACATACAAGCAGCCAACAAATATATGAAAATAAGCTCAGCTCGGTCAGGTACAGTGGCTCAAGCCTGTAATCAATCCCAGCACTTTGGGAGGCCGAGGTGAGAGAACTGCCTGAGACCAGGGGTTCAAGACCAGCCTGGGCAACTTGGTGAGACCTCATCTCTACAATAAATACAAAAACTAGCCAGGCGTGGTGGCGTGTGCCTGTAGTTCCAGTTACTTAGAAGGCTGAAGTGGAAGGATCACCTGAGCCCAGCAGGTCGAGGCTGCGGTGACCACGAGTGTGCCACTGCACTCCAATCTGGGCGACAGAGTGAGACTCCAACTTAAAAAATAAAAAAAGCTCAGCTTTACTAATCATCAGAGAACTGCAAATCAAAACTACAATGAGATACCACCCCATACCAGTCAGGATGGCTATCACTAAAAAGTAAAAAAAACAACAACAACAAAAAAAACAGGTTTTGGAGAAAAGGGAACACTTTTATACTGTTGGTGGGAATGTAAGCTAGTTCAACCTTTGTGGAAAACAGTGTGGCATTTTCTCAAAGAACTAAAAATTGAGCTATCATATGACCCAGCAATCCCACTTCTGGAAATATACCCAGAGGAACATAAATTGCTCTACCAAAAAGACACCTGCACACATATGTTCATTGTAGCACTGTTCACAATAGCAAAAGCATGGAACCAACCCAGATGCCCATTGAAAGTGGACTAGAAAAAGAAAATGTAAACCGGGCTCGGTGGCTCAGCCTGTAATCCTGCGCTTTGGGAGGCTGAGGTGAATGGATTGCCTAAGCTCGCGGGTTCGAG